TCCAAAAATGTCAATATTTATTTATTCTATGTTATACACATCTAATTACTAGTCTTACTAAAATGTTCTTTTCAAATGTGTATTTGGGAAGATTTATTCACAGGTAAAGTTACATTACATAACTGACATCACAAAATGGCCTTAACATTAAACTTTGAAAAACACATTCTAGTTATACATATACGTAATAAGGTCCGGTTTCCGGTATTACTGGAAAATTTTTTTTTCCACAGAAATCAGACTTCAAGTTTGAAAATAAAAAATAAAGTGCTAATTGTAAATCGAAGTAAAGCGAGTTAATAAAGAAATGATCTCCACAGTGTTAAATCATTTCGAGGACAAAGATTCAGAATATTTTTTTAGTCGCACATAAAATTAATTTAGCATTCTAAAAAATGTACTGAAATAAAGAGTAATTATATTAAAATATAAAAATGCTTCATCCACTTTATCACCTTTTTTATACTCTTAGGCCGGAAACTTTTGGGCCTTTTAATACGTACTTTTTGTTTTGTTAGATATTGTAATATTGCACGTGACCGCGCGAGTAAACAAACGTGCGGGCGTGAAAGAATGAAGGAAAGTCGATTTCTATGGATCGGGCTTCTTTATCGATCTTCCCGATATGAATGCAACAATTTTATGCAACAAAGCGTCCGGGGTAAAGCCTATCGCGATTACATTCATTATTTACGATCGCGATGCGTACACACCCGTTACTATATGCGCCTGCATTTTCCGCGGAGCACGTGTTTACCTCGTATGCGACAAATATGCGACCGTCCACGTGCATCAACGTGACGGATGTGGCGGTCGAGCGTAATGTGGGGCACGGTAAAAGGCCTTCAGTTTGAAGAACTTACAGGTTTTGTACATTGATTTTCGGATGTTCCCTCTATTGTTCATTCATTGCTACGTTGTACGACTACGTTCTACGACTCGCTTAAAAAAATTTAAAACGATAGTTATTTTAATAAATCTGCATTTTACTGATAACCTTGCCTTTTGTTGCGTAGGATAGAATCGCGAATCGCCTACGTGAAAAATATGTTTCATTATTTCAAAAATCAACTAAGAAATTTTCACCAATGACTTCGTGTCTGCAAAGTCAGATATTTTTAAATAAAATAAATTAATTTTATTCGCAAGATATAAATTCTATTATATAAAACGATATATAAAAAAAGATTGCGTGATCCGGTTAATGTCATCCAGTGATGAAAAAGGTTCACGATTTTATAAATTCCGACAATATTGATCGAGAACTATTTCGGATGGTCGAGAAGTTATTTTGTAGAGACGAAACAGATATAGGCTTGAAAGGCGAGGGGACTATTTGGGTCCCGGCCTTTCGGTGGGATCAAGGTATACAGACGGAACTACCAACCTCAACCTAGTCGTTCATTGAATCGAGAGAGGCAAAGCCAGCTTTCTCACTCGCTGCGGAAAATATCACTTTCAAAGTTTCTACTCGCGATAGTAAACGTCGACGCAAATAATTCACTTATTTCATAATTTAAGGCCGTTCGATAGAAAACGTATACGAGAAAAATGTCGACAAGTCAATCAAATATGTATGGAAGCGCAATATTTTTCTCATTAATTCTTCAATTCCAGTTTGTGAATCACGCGCAATGATAATAATAATGCAGGAACAATAACGCAATTTTCTTTATCGAGAGCTTCCTCTATAAGTATAAAGTATCTTTTCCTATTAACGAATAAGTAAAATCGACGAAACCCAAAGACATGCGGAAGGACGAAAACGCTCGACGTATCGCATCATCATCTAGCCCGTCGCTATCCTTTTCCCTTTCCTTTCGTTTTCCCCGGCTGCTTACAGTTTACTTTCTAATTGCGGGTAATAGTACGTGCTGCAGTGTTTTACTTCGTTACTCTCATTCAGGTATCCAGCAAAGCGCTTGACCCATTGTGCCCAATATTGACGACTGAACACGAATCTACAACCTTTTTCTATTTATTTACTCACAAAGCTATGCGATAGATGGGCAAAATAAATCAGCTGTTCGGAGAAATCGTGATGAAAAATGAGCGCAATCGAACCGGAGAAACTCTTTCGAGCGACCGAGAATTCTCCAACATTGTTTGGTATTTAAATAAAGAGGAAATTTCCGCTTAAATGGCATAAATTTCTGAAATCGGTTTCTTCGTAAGTTCACACAAATCTCATTCAATTCAATTTCGCCTTTTTTTTACGTAACATTTAAATTATTGTACATAAACGGGCGCACAAAAGTCGATCGGCGCGCTATTGGTTAGTTGACGGTATTTATACATAGATACTAGCTTTACACGCCCGTTTATCTAAGACACTTTCGCGCGAGCGTACTCGTCCGTATTATTTATCAATCTTGAATTCAGGCATTACGAACCTCGGAATAATAATACTCGTGACGAGCTCGGGGCGCCAAGCTGGCACCGCATGGACTCCTACTCCAAAATTATCGGCAAGAATACCTCGCGCTCCGAGATACTTCTCTATTCCAAAATCATCGAGTGCCTTTCCTGCCCCGAAATCGCTAATAAGGAAACCTCCTACGCGCGCGCAAACGAGAAAGCGAGATAACGCGTGACATATTTAACTGTTCAGCGATTATTGCAAGCTCTCTTATACATACTCTTTTTTTCCTGTTACTTATCTTACCGAACAATCAGGGAGCTTGTTGCCAACCGAGTGTCTATATCCGCGCCTGCATTGCACCTGCAGGACCCAGGCGGTTTTCGCGGCCGAGTGGCACGGCGAGACGCGTCTCTTCGGCCGCTTTACATTGCAAATAACAGTATCTGGACGATTAACATCATATCTTTAACAATACCTCTTTCTCTCTCTCTCTCTCTCTCTCTTCCTCTCTATCTCTATTTCTCTCTCTCTTTCTCCCTCTTTCACCTCTCTCCTTCTCCCACCTCTTCAAAGTCGCTCCTCTCTCTCTCTCTCTCTCTCTCTCTCTCTCTCTCTTCTCGCTCTCGTCGTCATCGTCAAGCAACTGCGCCACATAACGCGGGGTTCCGGCTCCGAATGGAGCCCTCCCGGTTTTAAATCTCCCTCGGGATGAAAACGATCGAGTCGCGAAGTCAGGGAAAAAGCGAAGGGACTCACCGGTTCGCTGACGAGCGTCACATCTCCGCACCGCTGAGGAGGACGTTGCTGGCTCGCGCCTTCTTCCTCGCCGTTGTCGTGATCGCGATGATTGTCGCCGTGCTGGCGGCTTTTTCCTCACCTCGCTTCAGCAACTCCCCGAGTTATAATCCAACTCCAGCTGAATCGGGATCTCTCTCTCTCTCTCTCGTCCGGAGCGATATCACTGCCCCGCGGCAGACAAAGCCATCTTGATGAGGGCACGCACGCACAATCTGCCTGACCGCCTCTGATCGCGACGGTCAGGTCCTCTTACCAGGACGGGAGGCGGCTGAATGAGAACACGGCGCGGTGGAAGAGTATTTCATGATGGCGCCACGAGACGGCTGTCGCCTCCGCCATTGCTGCCGCCATCGCGCCGTCGTTGCCGCCGCCGCCGCCGCCGCCGCCGCCGCTTGCTGTGCTGCCTCGACATTCAGCCGGTTACCAACGGTTGAAAGGGTGTGACAGAGTCTGGTGAACTTTTTGTAGACTCTTCGCGGAACACCCCGATAACGACGCCAACAAAATACGCTTAGGAGGAGTCATAAGGATATTTTTGAAATGATGATGACGGGGATTGGACGGCCAAGTGGCCTTGAGAAGCTTCCACCTGCGATCGGCGACGCTACTTCAAAGGCGGGAACTTTGAAGTCGCTGGTGGGTTGGACTCTCCGAAGGATCGACTCTTTGATCGCGGTGACAAAGATGAAATAGAACGTATGATTTGTGAAGAGTCTTGGAGCTATTCTCATTTCCGCAGATTCGTGTTATTAGTGTCTTGAAACATTTATTTGAAAAGAAATCTTGAAACAGTTCAAATAACATGTTTAAAAAAAAAGAGACGAAAACAGAAATAATCGTTACGATAAAAATTAGAGGTCTGACGATAGCGCCAAGACGAAATCGAGCGAAACGTAAAATAGCAACATAAAATAAAATAATAATTGCGGTAAATTAAAAGGAAATAAAATAAATTCAAATAAAACGTAAAATATCTCTGATAAATCACACAATTATACAGCTCGCCGCGGACATCGAAATGCGATTTTCTTAAATAGATTTTATTCGAGGGCGCTAAACAATTATTATCTACATCTCTACAACAGGTATATATCCTCCTTGCCTTCGTTGAGACGCTGTTTTGTCCTTGCTTTCCCCTCGGCGGAAGAGGGTGGCGTCGCGAGAAAAAAGAAAATCGCACGATATCTCTTACAAATAGCACAATAAATATTTCTTTCTCTTCCCAATCCCATATATGTTTCTCTCTCGCTTCTCACATCGCACTCTCTCACTCGTTCGCTCCTTCGAAACGAATTAATTAATCCTTATTGGCACATTGTATAGTAGACTCTTAAGTATATAAATAAGTCGTAAGTCGATGCCTCGTTTAGATTATTAAATATATATATGTATATATATGTATAATATATATACTGTATATGTGTATATGAATATCCAATATCTTTATGTTGTATATATACGACTAGAACTCCTCAACACACGTATCACATACTAATATTGACTATCGTGTTTCAGGACGAGACTCGGGAAGCTCTTCGCGTCCCGAGTCTTGGCGACGTTCTCGCCCTTCCGTTTGATTCGAAAATCGAAAATCCTCAGACGCAAATCCTTCCCATCTTCTGGAACCTTATCTTCGCGACTCTCAGACGGATCTCCGTTGCTGGCTCGATATTTTTGAAACAGCTACACGATTAAATTCAAAAAAGAATTCTCTTTTCTAAAAGAAAAAGAATTTTTTTT